TAATGGACCAAAATATTCAAGTCAAGTTTAAAATTGCACAATTACATTGGTTTGTGGTTTCACAAGTAATGGTTTGGACTTTGTCTCTTGAAAAATATCACACTACAACGGGAATTCAGTGATATGAAAACATGGGGCGGGTTCGGGCTCATTACGCTCATGAAGCCACGGGACTCATATCATCTCCGCTGAGGGGAGAAGAGGTAGGAGGAGGAGGCGGCGGGGGCGGTAATGGAGGTGGGAACGGGAGTGGTTGCGGTGGTGGAGGCAGTTGGCCGGTGCAGTCCTCCCCTACACCACAGCGGCCCCAGTATTTGCGAAGATTAGGCTCTGAGGAGCAACGTGGAAGTTTTCGTAATCGGCGATAGAGGTCATCCAGACGTTGATGCAACTTAGACCGAGTAGGCAGGAAACGAAAACAGTCAAAACTGATTTCTAAATGTGTGACACAGTGACCTTGTACACAGCGACGAACACAGTCAACACTGGCGTCGCTTGGACTGAAGTGCATATGCGGTTTAATATAACACTGAAATGTTGAACAGCGTACTAGTTGTGGAGGGGGGTAGCTGTAATCATTACAGCTGCGAGGTTGAGGGAATGTCGTCAGAACAAACTACCATTTTTAGGTAACATACTAGCAGCAGCTAGATTGTGTTTAATTAGAACAGACACGATGACCTCATGTTTCGCACCATGAACGATGACGATTAGTGTCAAGCTTTGTATGCAACCTCTAAAACTAAGAGACAAAAAATACCAATTAAATTGGAAAAAAAGTACCTCAGATACCGGTTGGCTAAGACCGAGATCGATGAATAGGAGGATAGCACTAAGAGTTAGCAAGAAATGATATCAAATGCGCGTTTCAGCATTGAAATTCAGGAAAGAAAATGAGTAACAAAGTCTCAAAATTTGCTACTCTCATCAAAAAGGAATAAAATTATGTGGCGTTGGGAAAATTGAGCTTTCAGCTCCGCTTATGATGCCAAAGCAATGCATCCGTACTCCAGATAGAAAAGTTGACATCAAGAAACAGCCGAGGTAATGATACATA